TGGAATCTTATCAACAAAAAGCAAAAGTTAACAATATATATATGATAAGCTTGCCATTAGCATTATTCAAGCATAAAATAGTTCTTTTAAGGTATGTATTTTGTATAAAGTATTTTGCATAATTATCAACCCACCTATTGTGTTTTCGGCTTCTTTTTCAATTTTATCTAAATCCTCTAAAATGGTGATAATAGACGATGGATACCAGTCAAATTAATATGTAATACGTTGAATAGCTATCATCAATTCAGATTCAACTAAGCATACAACTTATATAAAGGATTAGATTAATTGAATATATTTTCGAAACTTCCACCATATGTATTGTGTCGGGTGTGGTTAGCAGGAGATAAATAGTATTGAGAAGAATGTTGAGGAGCTGGGGCGTGAGATTGCGGCAATACGAGTCAATCATAAAATGAATGATAAATGTCACGCCTGTGGAGGGACAGGACATTGGAACATAAACTGTCGAATAAGACGAAGACGCAGCAAATATACTAAAGAAGAACACGGGTGAGGAAAATCGAATGTATTTGACACGAAATTACAAAGTATCTCAATAAAATCCGAGAACCACATAGTAAACCGTTTATTTGTAAAATATCAGTCCATCATATCAAACTTGACTGTTTCTAATGCAACATCAGTCCGTTGTCTCAGATTTCATTGTTCATGTGTTTTCATATCAATTGAGTTTCGTCCCCGTTTTTTCGTGATTGACCTTCAACCGAAATACATTCTATGCCTGAAAAGCGTTATATATTACTTGTGTGGATAAAGTAACCCACATCACAGTATCAATACCAAGGTTGAACTTGTTAATTTATTATTATATTATACGTCTTATTTATTTCTTTAGTATATGAGATACTTATTTCAAGTAATATTTTGTGTGTTCGAATCTCGCGGGGGATGCGTCATGATGGATGCGCACTGCTGAGTAGTCCAATATTAGAACGAAACGGTCGTCCAGTGCTTTTAGGCTTCTCCTGATAGTTTAGCTTTGATTGACTCATGAATTCAATTATAACGCTAATATGTTATTTAAAAGTGAACACATTTGAGGATGTAATAACTAACCGATGTATTGTTCGATGGTTTTTATCATTGTATTAAGGTCCAACTCCATATCAACAACTAAAATAAAATTATTGAGAGATGATTGTTTCTTATTTGTGACTCAATAAATGATGAAAAACAAAACATGACAATGCATAGATTACATATGATTCATCGACAATAAATAGTAAATTGCTATCAGAGTTGACTTGAATGTAAATTAAATCCAATACTCGTACCTGGAAAACCATTATGAAAAAAACCCTTCAAGTGTATCGAACACATATTGAGGAAAGCGCCTGACTACATCACAAGGGTAGTTCACAATTGGAATCCTCAAAAACTGAAGAGAATAAGTAGATCAAAGAACACGAATTGATTTGTGTATGCTGCGCAAGCTAGTGACTATCAGGAAGCAGTAGCTAAGTGGATAACGTGATGGTGCTTTAAACTGAACGATAAGAGGATCACGTTTTAGTGTGAATATTAGCTCTCAGGTACAAGCACATCCAGTTGATGGATCCCAAATAGGACGAAACATGCGTGAAACTGGATTAAACCGCTTGTCACTACCTATGTTTGCTTATTTAATTTTTGGATTGAAGAAATTTACCATCAACAAATGGTAAGTAATGCCCTTATCGCACGTCGCAAAAATCTGTGTTCTCATGCATAAATATGGATTGTAAGTCAATTATTAAAGTAAATAAATCTCACTTTCTCGATCCGATGTTCTCAGAATCTCTTTTGCAATGTCTATTTTTTTAATTAAAAAAATCAACATATTATCACTAGACATAAACAAAATATCGATATTAAGGTCAAATATGTTAAATTTTCATTTGCTAATTTGATAAAGATTAACGAAAAATGAAAGCCGTTGTTTGTTTTGTTAAACGTTAAGCTTCTTTAAAGCTAAATGAATAAAGCAACTCGAAATTCTGCAAGCCCACTATCTTACTTAATTACTTACGTCTGTCACTCTCCATCCAACTCTGTCCTGGAAAATCCTTTCCAAGTTTTTTTCAATTGTTCTTCATGCTTTTTATGTGTGGGCGAAACTCTAATTTATGGACGGGCCAATCAGAAGCGTTTAAAGTATTCCAATTTTTCGGCGTCAACCTCCGTCCTTAATGCTAACGCACGATCGGATCACAAGGAATTTTGTTCAAAATGTGATAATTGAGTGACTATAACAAATAAAACAGCGAGAGTATAATTTGTGGACGAATCGATTAGGTATAAGATAACAGATCTCGGAATTTAACGCGAAAGCCTTTCATTCATTTGGCCATATAGATTTCTGGCATTATAGCTGGTGTCAGTTCGTGATGAAAAACAAAGGTCCAAAGGTCGTCAATAAATTAGAGTTTCGTCCATGTCTGCCTCTATTTTCCATAATAATGTTTTAATTCGCCCTCCGCTTCACCGCTTCCCTTCAGGATTCCAAGTTACGGCTTGCATCGTGATGCAGTTTGTTGATTTATATAATGTATGTTCTATCCACTTTCAACATCTTTTACTAATTTCCTCTTCGACTGGAAGCTTGCTTGTTCTCTCCCATAGTAGGCCGTTATTGATGGAATTCGGTCAACGAACATTCAGCATCTTATGTAGACAGCTGATTATATATACTTATTCTTCTTTAATGACCGTTGTGTTGGGTTACCGCTTTTCAGCTACAAACAGTGTGACTGTCTTGACATTACAACTGAAGATTCTGACTTTGATATTGGATGACGATTTTTTCTAGTTCCATATGTTCTTCAGCTGTAAGTATGCTGCCTTCACTTTATCGATCTTTGTCCGTACGTCTGCATCAGAGCCTGCTTTTATCAATGATGATATCCGAATACGTGAAACGTTTCCGGAATTTCTCCACCAAGTAGTATATGGTTGGTGTCAACTGAGTTTAGTTTCAGGATCTTGCGTTTTCCTTTTGTATGTTGGGGTCTATTGATGCACAGATTGCTGCTACACTGTTTTTCGTGACCTTCGTTCGTTCGTGTGTATGGGATAGAAAAGCCAGGTTACTTGTAAATTCCAAATCGTCTAAGTCATTTTGAGCCGTTAGTTCAATTCATTTTTCAATCATCGCAAACATTTTAAAGATATGAATTATTCGTGTTAGTAGTAGTTTACGTTCACCCATAATCATATTCATTTCCAAAAATTACATAAATATTTTAGAAATAGAATATCGAAACTCATCGTTTCAAATATTCTTCCGAATTTGATAAGTTCAAATAAAGCACAAGCAGTGAACGCGATAGAATAAAGTGAACTGAATACTGGTCACGGCTTCCCACTACAATTCCAAGAGTGTCTCTTACAGTCACTCATTGGTGAGCAGATGATTCGAGTTAGAAATTAACACCGTTGGATGTCGGGTCAGTAGTTTGATGTTTGGTCGCTTGCGCGCGATACTGATAGGTCCTGTGTTCGAATCTTGCGTTGAAGGGGTTGTGGATGCGCACTGCTGAAGATTCCCGTGCTAAAACGAAACGGCCATCATGTGCTTTCAGGTTTTCCACGGTGGTCTACCTTCAATCGACTCATGACTTGGAATAACTGACCAAAGAATATTTAACGCCGAAAAATGGAGTTGAACATAAGAAAAAATGAACAAGAATTGGATGGAACTAGAAAAGAAGGCTCAGGACAGAGTAATATGGAGAATGGAGTACGCGGCTTATGCTCCATTATGAGTAACAGGCGCGAATATGTTAGTATATAAAACTGGCTTTGAAACTCACTGTAGGCTATTTTAAAGAGAACTCCTGTCTCGATCACTTCCTTATATATGGTTTGAAGACGTACTTGAGTTGAAAAAGAAATATTCATAATAAGACAACTATATAAAAATCGACACACAAGTACTGTTTTATTTAATGAAATCGGTTAAATTTTACTCCTAGTAATAACAACATGAACGCATCTATCATGACATATTTCTCCACATAAACATATGAGTAGTGCTATTCAAGACATACTTGTATTATCTTCTTCCAATTACTCCGTCTGGGCCCTCCCGGGTGCTACTGCTTCTTCCAAACACGGATAAAAGTGGAGGGTTTGGCATGGAGTTAGCCACCCTACCTCGTAAAAAACTAACCCGCCAAACAACGCTAACCAGTAAGAAAATTAACATCTCCCAATGTTTGAACTGACCGCATTACCGAACTCCTTCTTATGTATCCAATATAAACTTGTGTAATATGTAAATAAGATCATGAAACTGATTTGTATGTTTCCAGGAACACTTACCACTACTTCATCAAACCCACAGGTAAATATGTGATATGATTATATCAAATGGCAATTGTTGGTTTAATGCAACTGTTAACGATAGGATGTTCAAATATGTATTTAACATCAAATGGAAGTAATTCTTGTGTCCCTTGTCATTGGATATTCCATAAAGACTATTGCTAACTAGGCTCATTTGTATTCATTTTGATATTAGTTCTAAAATTAACTGATCGGAATAACTATACATTTGATGCGAATGTGTAAATGAGTGGTGCGAATGATCCATTAAGATGATCCGTACCCGTGTGGTTGCATTACAGAATTGAGCTTTACTATTCAGATTTTAGCGTTAAGGCCTACAAAATATCTGGTTCACCTGTGAAGCGAGATCGGGCTGTACAGCTCGGTTTTAAAATTTAAGCCTGTGTGGTGTCTGGCTCTCCTGTTCAACGGGATTGAGCTGTACAGTTTAGATCGTTGCGTGAAAGTCTGGATGGTGTCTGGTTCTCCTGAAAGCTGAGTTCCTTCGGAAGTACTGTAGCCAATGCACCTTCTAACAACCTGAGAAAGATTGCTTATAAGTACATGGATTGTCCGGACAGTGTGTGAGACCGCAACTACTAGTCAGATAGAAACGAAAATGAGGACAACTGACTATACAATACTGATTATAAATCAGTAGTCTTTTATTTCATGACATAAAAGGTTCTTTTATACGTACATTTAGACTGTTTATATTCTTTCTCCATTTGTTGTAGAGTTGAGTTTCTTTCAGAAAGTGATTTCCCTGTAGTAGAAGAAAAATGAAATTTGATTATTTATTCATACCATCTGATGTTTTCGTAATGATTATTCACATTTGAATTAGTATTATTCACAATATATGTGGTGTGTTTGATTTTGTGGATCTAGAGTGGATCCATTGGTTTTAGTAACCATGTATCATCTGGCATAATTTTCACATTTCATATCATTGTAACAATCGTTTACATTTGTGAACTGGAAATTATGGGTTATTCACTTTATACGTTGTAATAAACGTAAATGATTTTCTTTAAGCAAAACAATTCAGCTTAACAATGTGATAAAGATGTTTTCGTTGAGATCATGAATCAAATGAAGCTGGACCATCATGGAAAACCTGGAAGTAGTGAACGAGAATTTTGTTCTGTTGTAGAATTCCTTAGCTATAAGTATTTACAATCCCACCACGAGGGATTCGAACCCAGGATCTCTCGGTCTCTCGCGTGAACGCTTAACCTGTTAACCACAGATATGGTTTTCACTGTTAAACGTTGAAAACTCATAGATACTACATAACTGTTAACCATTGTAATAAGTACCAAAATAAATTTGTAGCACTTGTATGGAACCATGAATCATACAATCACTATTTACTTGTATATTATAAACTTTACTGGATGAGTATAAATGAATAGTGGCAAGCGGTGGAATTCAGTTTGACGCACATTTCGTCCTATTTGAATCACGACAAATGGAAATATCTACATCTCAGAGTTGATGTTCACTCTGTTACTCGATCTCAGTACCATTCGCTTCAAACACCAATGTCTTATCCACTTAACCGTTGAGTCCCAAAATCGCTTGCTTGTACAATGAGGAGAAAGTTTAGATTCACTAATTATTCTTTCAGTTGAATTTTCTCATTGTTATTTCGGACCGCGATCGCTCAGTCTCTTATTGACATTTGTGCATATTGCGCGCATTACGGACGATTCTCAAATAGGACGAAACCTGCGTCAAACAGAATTTTACTGTCATCCACTATCCATCTTTGCTCATAATGCTTGTGAATTAAGGCAATGTTGATGCATTACACACAGTATGCACATATGCCTATATAAGACTGATCGTTTGTACCTCTAAACATCAATGGGAATATATAAGTATACAACATCAAGTGAACTTCCCGTGTGATTTTACACAGCATTGTGATAAACTTCGGCAGTTACCCGCTAGAAATGTGTTTCGAAATTCTTATTTCAATCATTGTTGATTGAGCTTCATTCTCAGAATAGAAGTCAAGTACTCACCATTATTTTTTTTCCAAGAAGAATTTTCGGTAACCATATTCAGATATTTGTCTACATGAAAAAGGAAACATTAGCAGTCAATTTTAATTTTGTAAGTAGTATGTGTAGACTGTTGTTATCTCCAATTTATAATTTTAACCGATTAAAATAATGAAAACGGTTTTTTTGTATGACATTTTGTTAGGAAGATACAGAAAACTCCTCAAAAGAAGGACAAAAGTAAACGCTCTGAAAACACTGAGAAATATCTGAATCAATCAGCATTCAAAAGAAGCTTTGCTAGAAACATCCAGAAAGTAAAATCTCACATGTCGAGTTTCTTATTGAACGACTGCATATACTGCATCCATGTTTTTTAGCCCTACATAAAATTACGGAAAACTGAGGTCATCTGAAATACTAATAAGCTAGCTTTTCCGTACATAAACACTGTGTAACTTTAGCCTCGGGGTTACTAGAAGAGCTTAGAACCGAATCTAGCATTCAGTAGGATAGCTCATTACATTTATAAAATTTCTAGTTAGACATGCAATGAATAAACTCAACGATTTTCATCAATATGGGTCAGTTTCCAATATACTTGAGTTTCCAGTTTGCCAGTATCCGTTCTGTTGAATAATATGTCAAGGAATAATGATAGTATTTCATTTGGCTACTGATCCAATGTGATCTTAATGTTATCCAGCATGTTGTTGAAGAAGTTGTAGGTTGTTCCTTCAATGATTTTCAGTTATCGATTTATTAACATCCTACAATTGTCAATGTGTGAAATATTGTATTCAAAAAAACGAAGCAACAAATGATATTTAATAAAACCACTGAATGAATATTATTACGTGAGGCTAATAAAATCTATTTTGTAAGTTAGTTTAGCACCAATAATATGTGGAATTTATATAAATATATGTATATATATATATACATATATATATATATCAAAGTCAGAAGCTTCAGTACAAACGTCAAGGCAGTTCTACCGTACTGAGCTGAAACGTGGCTGACTATAACAACCACCATCAGAAAGGTACAAGTATTTATCAATAGCTGTATACGCTTGATACTCAAAATCCATTTGCCGGATACCATCAGCAACAGTTTTTTGTGGGAAAGAACCAGCCAGCTTTCAGCGGAAGAAGAAATTAGGAAAAGACGATGGAAATGGATAGGACGTACATTGAGGAAATCATCAAACTGCACCACGAGACAAGCGCTAACTTGGAATCCTGAACGGAAGCGTAAAAGTGGAGGGCCAAAGAACACATTACTTCAGCGAATAGAAGCGGATATGAGATGGATTGATAAGAATTGGAAAGACCTGGAAAGGATTGGACAGGACAGGGTTGGATGGTGAATGCTGGTAAATAGCTTATGCTCTTTCGCGCGGAGTAACAGGCGTAAGTAAGCAAGTAAGTATATATATATATATTGTGGATATTACAGTTTCATACACATAGTTCCCTTTATCATTTTGAAAAGAGCAAGTACAAAGATTCTAGCAGAATAGCATGAATTCATTTTATGTCGTCGGTTCTCATCAGCTGCTTACAACCTGTGAAATTTATAAGTCATAATTGCTATAGTGACTAATATTCCTTCGCTGCAACATAAATTATTTTTTGTTTTTTTTTAATTACTACATCATTGATTTTCATTATTTTTATTTCTTCAATTACGTTTCAAATTAATAGTCTTTTAACTGAACTTTACTCACTATATTCCTATCAAAATTTTTACTGTTTATGTAATCAATTGTTTCTAACCCCTTTTTTGAACTGTTGTCACAATTAATGATGTAGAATATTTTTTCACAATAGGTATATATTTACAATATTCAGTCTATTAATTTCATCTACACCTTTGCTATACTATACGAATATGTCTTCAACATAAATTCCAACCAAACCCTCTCATGTAAGTCATTTAAACTCATTATATAATTATGATTTATAAATATCACAGGTTGTAAGCAGCTGATGAGAATCTGCGAAATGAAATAAATTCATGCTATTCTGCTAGAATCTTTGTTCTTACTCTTTTCAAGATATTACAGTTATTTTCATAGTTGAGTTTGTGAGAATACTGAAGCTAATGACAATGGTTGATATGTCAGTCAATTTCACGGATTAGTTGAAGTAAGATAATAACATCGTTGGACGCCGGCTTAGTGTTCTCGTGGTTAAGCGCCTGGCGCGAGACTTATAGATCCTAGGATTCGGATCTCGCGAATCAGTCGTCGATGTGCACTGACTAGGAGTCGTACAATAGGACGAAAGTGCCATCCAGTACTTTCAGGTTTTTCATAGTGATCTTGCTTCAATTGACTCACGATCTCAACTAATAAATCGGCTTTGTTCATTGATCAAGTAAATTACGTAACAACTGATCTGGTAACGTAACAAACGTTTTCTTAAACCTACTACTTGCTAAATCGAATTTTAATCTTGCATCCCATTTCATATGTACTGCCGATTCTAGTAAACTACTGTCTATAATGGATGAATGAAAGAAGAAAAAACAACATTGAATGATATTTAAGTTAACTGCCAATCACTTTATTAAGAACTGATAATGGGTTGTAGGTGAAAAATATAAATGTGTCTCTAGTTGTCTCGGTCCAATTGAATCCTAATAAAGACGTCACTATGCAGTTAATGTACTTATCCATTTACTGTTGTCATTTGTTTATTTATACATTACTTATTTCAACACATAAATAATGGTACATTGTAGTACGGCGTACATATGCCTAACACAATTCACTTGATTTGTGTGTGGGCTGTGATACTAATGGAGTGCCCAAAGCGAGGTAATTGGTTTCCTTATTGGACCACAGTCGTTACCTTCGACGTAATGGTCCTATACACAAGGCATTGGAACAACGTCAGGAGATGCGATCTCACAATGGGTTCATGTGCTATTTGTTCCTGTAGGATATTGGAACCCATGTGAACTACTGATTAGAAATCAGGAATCTTCAACTTTCTTCAGTGAATCCTTAACATCCACCAACTTGGTTAAATCGCTGGACATTCGCTTTTCTTCGTCTCAATTTCGTGAACAATATCCCCGCCGCGAGAAGGCAGTGCGTGGAGCCTCCATGACAGTTGCTGTATACGCGTGGACATAAGAGAGCATTTGGAGAGGGTGAGCTGATTTTTCTCATCCTCGACCGTACCGGGGAGGGCTAACGTTTGCACAGTCAGTATGTTTTATTAAACTTGACCTAACATTTAAACACAAATGCACTTTTAAGATTCATTTTTGAGATTGATTATAATGTTTTCATTTGTAAGAAACAACTTTTCAAGTTTGAAAAATTACATTAACGCAGGCAAAATTTCAACTTGTACCAGAAGTTCAAGTAAAATTCAAACTTTTAACATTCATAAAATAAAATTGACCCCAAAAATCTTTTAAGGAGTGATGTTGACATATTGTTTTTGATTTGAAATCAGTGACAAGTTTCATTTCGAATGGCAAAGCGTGTTAAAACTGGATATTGGACTATGCATTAGATGGTGGTTGGGGATGGTCTACATGTAACCCTGGCCCCGAGTTTCGAGGAACTGGATACTTTTCAGCAAGGTGCGGTTGTATTCTTGAGAGAACTAGTGCTTCCTTACATATTCGATCCTGTGTCACGCAAATTCACAGTCAAAGACGAGTGCCATGTAGCACGAAACCTGGTCCAAGGTTTCCTGTCGACTACCTCCAATCACCGTCCAATATCAGTATATTGCACTCAGTGTCAAGTCACCTAAACTGTTGGCCATATTTCAACATGATTAATAGCATTCGGTCTGCACCAATAAGAACTTCATACATATGACATTGTTAACCACCCGGTGATCAATCGTTTGTGGTCGGACTTTTGCAAAGAAATATTTATATGGCTTATGCATAGAATCAATATTAGCCGCCAAATTGTAACGATAGGAGATGTGTTTAAAACTTACCATATCCATCAACTTCAAGAGTTCCTCTTGTTTTAAATGCTCGTTCATAATTTTCTGATAAAAACGGGTAATACAGACAGCTTAATATAAGTCATGCTACTACAAATGAAATGCAATCATGATTTAATAAGTAATTCGATGTGCACTCCAAGTTTATTTACTAACTTACGCCCGTTGATATTCATGGAGAAGTATGGGCTGCTCTTCATCAGCGCCTGCACTGGACGATTATTTTCAGTTTTTACCAGTTGTTATTCATCTTTTCCATGTGTGTTCCCTAATCTCGGCGCTGTATAATCTTTGGCCTTCCCATTTTCCTCTTCCTTCTGGATGCAAGTTGAGGATTTCCGCGTGATGCAGTTTAGCGATTTGTTTATTGTGAGCCCTATCCACTTCTAAAGTCAATCTATGGTGTGTTTTCTGCCATAGTAGGCACTCACCAGTGGTGTCTGGCCAACGATCATTCACTTTTTTACGTAGATAGTTGATTATAAATAATTATACATCTTTGATGATTGCTGTAATACGTTTCAGTTGCGTCCAACGTATTTATTTTATTCCATGTCTCCCACCCGATGTTGAGGTCTTGATAATCCAGTTATTCGCCAAAAGAACGAGAAAGCGCAGTGTAAGCAGCCTTATGTGACACTGGTCCTCACTTGAATTGTGTCTGTCAGTTGTTCTTCGTGCATGACTCTGCAGTGTAGTCTACAGTATGAATTCCCTATGATGTTGACGATTTTCTCAGGTACACCATAGTGCCGAAAAGGTATCCATAATGTTCTCCTATACACACTATAGAAAGTCCGCGCGTCAACATCTTATAGAAATGCCCGAGACAGCCGATTTCCTCAACACACTTCTTATGAAAACTTACGTACGGCTCAACCGATTTCGCTGATTCATTTTGTGTGGGATTTCTCTTGCAAATATCTGTTTCACAACTCACAACACATTGTATGTTGAATGAATGAATGAATGAATAATTGAATGAATGAATGAATGAGTGAAATGCAAGACGTATCAATGAAATCGGTTAACCAGCAAACCACTTTTACGTATGAGCAGTGAGCAAAACTTGCCAATGTAATTATGCTGAACCATCGTCAGTATGAATGGTGAACCTGCAGTCTGATATGAGACTTTCAGCTCTACATAGTAATATAGCTTATACAGTATACCACACATATGTAGGGTGGTAAACGAAACAGCACAGCCTGAAGCGATGGGCCTTGATAAACGCTTACAACCCATTGTCTGCTCTCGGAATACTACTACAACACCACCAACATCATCACAGTCATCGCATTTGCGAGATTCTCATTTGTCCGACAATTCATACCGAGAGTTTGGGGGTGGTATCAATATATAACATGGCGAGTAAGAGCACGTGTAAATGGTCAAGCACAAATCTCAATGCACGTGTACATATTGTGCATGATTGAATAGCACTGAATGAGATAAGTAACACAAAGCACGCCTCATTGACAAATATTAAACCGTTGAAAATTTATGAAGGAAAATGTGACCTGGAAACATCCTATAGAATGTCCGCGCGTCAACATCTTATAGAAATGCCCGAGACAGCCGATTTCCTCAACACACTTTTCACCATAACGTTTGAACGGCTCAACCGATTTCGCTGATTCATTTTGTGTGGGATTTCTCTTGCAAATATCTGTTTCACAACTCACAACACATTGTATGTTGAATGAATGAATGAACGAATGAATGATTGAATGAATGAATGAAAATGCAAGACGTATCAATGAAATCGGTTAACCAGCAAACCACTTTTACGTATGAGCAGTGAGCAAAACTTGCCAATGTAATTATGCTGAACCATCGTCAGTATGAATGGTGAACCTGCAGTCTGATATGAGACTTTCAGCTCTACATAGTAATATAGCTTATACAGTATACCACACATATGTAGGGTGGTAAACGAAACAGCACAGCCTTAAGCGATATACTCAGTTCCTTCGGTTTTGCCTGCGAATGCAAGTTGGATATTTTCGGGTTATGCAGTTTAGCTTTTTCTTTATTTTGAGCCCTATCCACTTCTAAATTCAATCTATGGTGTGTTTTCTGCCATAGTAGGCACTCACCAGTGGTGTCTGGCCAACGATCATTCACTTTTTTACGTAGATAGTTGATTATAAATAATTATACATCTTTGATGATTGCTGTAATACGTTTCAGTTGCGTCCAACGTATTTATTTTATTCCATGTCTCCCACCCGATGTTGAGGTCTTGATAATCCAGTTATTCGCCAAAAGAACGAGAAAGCGCAGTGTAAGCAGCCTTATGTGACACTGGTCCTCACTTGAATTGTGTCTGTCAGTTGTTCTTCGTGCATGACTCTGCAGTGTAGTCTACAGTATGAATTCCCTATGATGTTGACGATTTTCTCAGGTACACCATAGTGCCGAAAAGGTATCCATAATGTTCTCCTATACACACTGCAGAACGCTTTCTCACAGTCAAGGAAGTTGATGTTGAGTGATGAGTTCCATTCGATCGATTGTTCAACGGTGGTCCGATGTGTCGGGATTTGGTCTGTACACGATCAATCGTTACGGTATCCAGCATTTTAATCTCAATGTTGAGTGTCTACTGAATCTTTCGTTTGATTCAAGAATACTTTGTTAAAAGTATTCTTTGATGATCATACATAGATGAGATTACCATCCTATAAATGCGATTTGCGGTTCGCTGGGCAGCATCAGAGCAACTACCTGTGTGTGTAGGACGTCAAAAAGCACAAAATCGGGTGTGTAAGGAAAGATAAAACAAAATGAATCGACCTACCTGAGTACTTCTGCTCTAAATCTTTATCATTTGGAATGATATCTGTAAAAAGTAACTAGTCGAGTATCAGTCTTTGAAACTAAAATGACTTTGTTCTTGAGAAAAATATCACACCATCATTCTGTACTACTACTAATAATGCGTTTACAAACCGTTTCATTCAATCAAAAACGTGATATTATGCATGGTATTTGTGAATCTTATGTGTTTGTATTAAATTATTTACTTCTCAGTATTTGGCCACCATCGAGTCCATATGTTGTGGCAAGACCAGAGGGTTGTTAAATTTGCCTAAGAAAAACAATAAACTTACTTGAAGCATAGACTGCTAACCAGTGATCAACTTCGTCTAGCCATCCTCTTTCCGATTCATGCCAATTACGATTCATCATTTTATATACATGATTTCATGCTTGCTATTTCTCAGACATATTCGATTATAGGTTTAACTATCTCGTCAAGAGATTTATAGCGTATTTCTTATAAATTACAGTACCTTACTGATGATGAATGTCATAATTTGCAAGTTACATTTTTGTACAATAAATTCGTTTAAAAATGCATGCTGCAGATTTTCACATCGATATTAGATGATAATTATTTTGAGTTTCAGATGTCCATTAGTAGTAGGAATACTGGTATTCCGTTGCTTATTTTGGCTTCCCATCTACATTACATCCTCCTTGATGCATATATGAGTACAGCCTTACATTTCTTCACGAAAATTGTCCTTAATCCAAATTTACAGGGTATTTACTGACAATGACATCAGAATGTAAAAAAAGTGTTTAATTTCATACACATAATTTTCTTCATTATTTTAGAGAGCAAGAACAAAGGTTAATAAAGAATAATATGAATTCATTTTATTTCGTTAGGTTCTCATCAGCTGCTTACAACCTTAAATATTTGAAATTCAACGTTTTGACAGATATTGACATACATCAGAGTGTGATGAAGGATGAATATAAGTGACATTATGTAGCAAAGATGCCCTTAGAGTTAATGAAGTCACAAAAATTTTGTTTCGAATATATAGAGTTTGGGAGGGAAGATTTCATTAACTCTAACGGCGCCTTTGCTACATCATGTGACTTATATTCATCCTTCATCACCCTCTGATGTATGTCTATATCTGTCATAACGTTGAATCTCAAATATTTTAGGTTGTAAGCAGCTGATGAGAACCAAACGAAATAAAATGAATTCATATTATTCTTCACCAACCGTTGTTCTTTCTCTCTTTAAAAGTATTTTACTCGGTAATGCCGTCTTTTCAGTCGTACAGTGATCAATTAGCTTCAGTTCTATCTGAGCACGAACAGTTGTTGATCCACAGAGGCACAAATGTCTCCATCTGATTAACCTGCTGAACTAAGTATTGATGCGCATGTGATCGTTCTAGTATTGCGCAGTGTGTTGTGGCGAAACACATACATCTTCTTGCATGAGTTTGTGTGGTAATATGGAACAACTAAAACATATTTCTTTGAGAAAAACATACACCTGCAATAATTCCTCCAGTTTTGTCTCTTTCTCACAATATATATTGCCCTATGACATATCATCATAACTGATGCTGTCCATTTTCAAAATCCATCGTAATCCTCTCACTTAGTTTGGAAGAGGGATATAACGCTCGTAATTCCATGAGATTGCCATGTCATAAGTGTTTATAGTGCATCATCGCAGACGTTGAGGAAAACGTCTCGTGTGCGCAGATCAGCTTCTTGCTTATATGAAGAACACAATAACAGTTCTTCTGAAGTTTCCATTCAAACTGTTAACCAAATAACCTTCACAACCTCCTATCATGACCGCGAATTATCTTCATGTAGCATAACTGGTTTTCTGGGTATCCAAAAGAATATAGTCATCATGACCGTATAAAAGTTCCGATTTTCATCATGAAGCGTCATTATCATTTAATTTGAATACTCCTCAACTGTTAGGACACAATTTCAATGATTTTGATGATTGCTTTTGATCATAGATTTCTACTGACGTTGTTAGACTGTTGTTATTAATTATATTTTGGAGAACATTTGGAATAAAAATATATGAATATATGTATACATGTAAACCTACTTTCGGTAAGATCTAAAATCCATTTAGCTGCATACAATTTTTCTTTCCTCATTATTTCTAGTAAATGTAAAAACAGTAAATGACTATCAACAAAATTGAATGACAGAAGCTTCTCTGCAAACATTTAATTGATGTGAGCAGCAAATAACTTCGTTTACTAGTGGCAAGGAGATTTACAATCCGTGTTAGCATGTATTGATAACATCAATCACATCTGTCAACAACAGATAAAAAGGTCAGTTTTCCATCATATGAAGTTCCAGTTTCATTTGTTCTTTATTATGCTGAACAAAAATGTGGAAGCTGAAAATTTAGATATTTATCACTCAAATTCCGCCTGTAGCTCTTTTACAGTTACTGCCGTTCTCAAGCAGAGGTAAAGGATGAGGATTTGGCACAATGTTGACAACCCCGTCGCGTGGAAAAAAACTTGCTAAAATAAGCCAATCAGATTATACTCAAACATCAACATGACAAAATATTAAATACTGAGTCAAGTGTTACACTACAACAGTGTACTACTTATATTATCAAAAAGCGTAACGCTCTCAGTATGGGGTTGCGAAGAATATTATGTTTTTGATCGAAATCATGAGCTGATGGATGTTAAACCACTATTGAAAACCTGGAACACTGGACGCTTGTTTCGTCCTATTATGGGACTCCCCATCTAAGCGCATCCATAAACATGCTCACGAGATTCAAACCCAGGGCGTTCGGCCTTGCGTGCGAATGAATAACCTCTAACCTCCAACGACGTTTATGGCTAATATCAAAAAATAGGACGAAGTAGCCGTCCAGCACTTCCAGGTTCTCAATTCTGATTCAAAATCAATCAGCTCAATCAAAAACAGTATTTTCTGTTATTTTTCAGTAGATTGATATGAATGATGAAACAAACCACATTAAATCATTAGGTACGTAATAAGCTTGTAATTTTGTATTTTAAGTGACACAATAAATAACTCACCGTCTCTGAATTCATTTTCTCCATTTGGAGTCACAGATAAAAATTTTTCCTCAATTGCCACTTAATAACAAAAAGTAAATATATGAAAATGACTTTTTTGTGCACATTGTAATAATTGTAATAGTGGAGATCATGAGTTAATCCAACCTAGACCGCACAGTGCTCAGGAGACACACAGCAGGACGAAACAGTTATCCAGTGCTTATAGGTTTGTCATGGTGTTCGAGCTTCAATTGACTCATGATCTCAACGATAAAAATAAAGAAAATACGTTGGTTTTACGTTATTATCCTATGTATACATACTGATATGTTCACTTAAATAATTACCACTTATTAGGACTTTTCTACCGTTTTTGAATTACTTACTCTTATACTGTTCAAGATTGATGATACTTCTAGTGTATTCTTCTAGTTTGAAGTGTACATCTATGGTTTATAAAAAACATGTTATGAAATAGACATCATTCAATTATTAAGTTGAGCTTCATACGTGTGTGTACATATAATTACGAAAACAAATAACTGAGAGACTTAAAAAAATGCCGTTTGCCTTTGTTACAACAGTGATGGTAGACAATGTGTAATTGCTGCACTAGAAACATCGGTGAATAATGTGATAGGTTACTGAAGTGTGATATATGAGTATATATTCTGTTCATCATTATGAGAAAGCATTTGATAGCGTAGACAGGATAGAACTATTGAGGTTTCCTCGACACTGAAGATAATCAACATCATACATCATCATAGGATGCAGCTGGACGATCTATACATGTCAGCCGATTTGGCTCTTCTATCACACTCTCGACAACAAATTCAAGAGAAGACAATTATTGTAGCAGCAGCCTCAGCAACATTTGGTCTCAACATACACAAAGGGTAAGCAAGATTCGCGGATACAACACAACATGCACTAGTCGAATCACACACGACTGAGAAGCTAAAGCGTAAGTAAAATCCTTTACATATCTGGACAGTATCATCGGTGAAAAAGGTGAGTCCGAAGCATATGTGAAAGCGCGACTCTACAAAGTAACAGCAGCATATCTACAACTAAAGAACATCTGGAACTCAAAACAACGGCCAACTAACATCAACGTCAGAATTTTTAATACAAATGTCCAGAAAATTCTACTCTATGAGTCCGAAACCCAGAGAACTACGAAAGCCAACATCAAGAAGACACAGGTGTTTGTTAACAGTCGTCTACGCAAAATACTTCAGATCCATGAGCCAGACACTATCAGCAATAACCTGCCTTGAGGAAGAACTAACCGGATTCCGGTGAAGGAAAAAATTGGGGGAAGCGCTGCAAGGGTATAGGACGAAAAGGGAGGGAACAGCTGAACTGTATCACAAGACAAGCCCTCACTTGAAATTCCCATGGCCGAAAAAGGTGGACGAATATTAAAGAGTGCATTGCTTTGAAAAATGAAGACAGACATGAGAAAAATGAACAACAGTTGGATAGATGTGGAAAGGAAGCCTCGAGGCAGTGTGGGTCGCAGAATGATGGTCGTCGAGCTATGCTCCGTTTGGGGTAACAGGCGTAAGTAATTAGGTAATATTCTGTACTCCTCGTGCTCGCTTGGTCAATGATGAATGCATAAACTAGTCAGCTTAATGTTCTTTTCAACGTTTGCTGTGTCAATACGTGTATGAATACTTGTTAGCTCACTACTTGATATACAGAAAGAAGTGTTACGAACATATATTTACAAAACATTCCATAATACTCATTATCTTACTTTTGAGTTCTACATTTGCAATATCTGCTGTTACCAGATATTGCATTCCTATATTGGGAAATAAACCGATATTTATTATACAATAAAACGTAACTGATATAAATTAAAGAAGAAAAACAGAAAAACCAATTCAAAGCAAACAAAGACCTGTGGTCTGTGGTATTTTAGTTACGTCGTAAACATTCAGTAGATATTTGACCGGTACTGTTGCCACTCACTCACCTACTCGTCGTCGTTAATTTAATAAATAATTACAATATGTAATCATGTTAGTTTATTGCGATATTGAATTTTCTTATGTCCAATTTATAGAGACGAACTGGTTCTAATGTATTAGCAAGGAAGATAAGGATTGGTTATTTGTATGATCACAACTGTGAAACGTCTGACAGGCAGTAGATTAGTTATATATTCTCCTATCCTTATTAAAATTGATTACTGATTGTTGGTTGCTGTTGGATTGTGTTCGGACTGATTTCGATTTTTGGTGTGGAAGTACGTTCACATTCTAGTCAGGCTATTTATGTGTTTTGTACTGAGTTGTATTACAACACCTTAGGGTTTTCGAAGAAAACATTTCTTAATATAATCAAAGATGAATAGTGTTTGGCGATGGAATCTAGTTTGATTCACGTTTCGCTCTATTTGATACTAATCAATTAGATGTACCTGCATCTTAGAGTTGATGTTCACTCTGAGACACAAACCCAATACCATTCACTTTAAACATCATCGCGTTATCCACATAGTTGTAGTTATAAACTATATTAACACATTATCGTTCCTGACTGGGGTGTGAGTAAACTATTATAAATCACAACGGACGTAATCCCTATCTAACTGATCTCAGTCGCTGATTGTACCAATCTAAGAAAAAGAACAAAAGCAACTTGATCTGATGTATTCACGTACGTACGTACGTACAAAGTTATACGTTGTTGATGACTGACTGACTAACTGAATAGAAATTTTATTCATGAGGAGAAACTATTGCCCACATCATACAACAGAATTCAAAGCAAAAATGAATGTAATTTACTTACCAAGGTAATACATAGAAATAATCACTGATTTAACAAAACAGCCTATCATTTGTTTCACAAAACTATCTTATCACAATTAATGTTATCATAGCAGTTTATATATTGTATATATGAAGCCGACATGTATAATTAAGGATGTGGAGAAAAAATAAAATTGGTGTGAACTATGGAATTGATACTACTCTTATTGCATCTCAAGTGGTTTAGCAAAAAACATTATTTGTGAGAAGAAAAGATAACAAGTTAATAAGTAGTAATATTTTCAGATGTATGTTCAAATATAACCAATAAATGATGGGAGGGTTTTTTAAGGACATCAAATTTATGTTTCTTGCTAAACAAAGTAAAAAATAGTTCTTAAACATACAAGCAATATATTGTACTTCTAAAGAAAAAAAGACACCATATCATTAAGAAACGTGTGATGAAGTTGAGTTTACAGTTCCTGAGAACATTACACCTGTATGATTACTTCCTCTCACAAAATAAGGTAATGTTGTTCATCGAAATGAAGAACGTCTGACTGCCTGAGCAGAGTTTAAATGGTTTGAAATATTTTTTGTGGTATGTGTTTTTCAACTAGTAGATATAATACGGGATGTTTATATCTGTCAATAAAAGTAGCCATTCTCAGACTTGTTCCTCATTAAATTAAACATTTCTTGCAGTCGTCCTGATCACCGTATGGCTGTCGCTGTTCGTGGCTCGCCTTCACAATGCCATTGAAACAATAAATTTAGTTGACTAGCATTACCGCGCTTCTGCATCTCTTTATAAGCTCGTGTAAACTCCTCTCGACTATGTGCTTGCTTCTAGTCCTCATATTACACTAAATCAACAGCCATTTAATCATTCAAAATGATGAAGAACAAAAGTAACTGGAACATCACATGATGGAAAAATGACCGTTTTATCTGTTGTTGACAGATGTGATTGATGTTTTCAATACATACTAACACGGAATGTGAATCTCCTTGCCACTAGTAAACGAGGTTATTCTCTGATCACACCAATTAAATGTATACAGAGAAGCATCTGTCGTTTTGTATGTTGAGACCAAATGTTGCTGAGGCTGCTGCTACAATAATTGTCTTCTCTTGAATTTGTTGTCGAGAGTGTGATAGAAGAGCCAAATCGGCTGACATGTATAGATCGTCCAGCTGCATCCTATGATGATGTATGATGTTGATTATCTTCAGTGTTGAGGAAACCTCAATAGTTCTATCCTGTCTACGCTATCAAATGCTTTCTCATAATGATGAACAGAATATATACTCATATATCACACTTCAGTA